AGTTGTCCCATCTTAGATCCTTGCCTTCCGCGTAGGCCCTACGGTGGTTGATTTTAAGGTGCCAAAGATGTACACTGAACACGGACATGCGTGTAGGCCTAAAAATGGCTCTTCTGAAGGTGCTTTCAGCAGGCGTATTCTCTGCGCTGCATTCCAGTGTAGTGTTTATGGGTGTAAAGTTTCCAGTTTAGGGGTGTAAAGAAACCATCTTTCTTGTGTGTATGAGTATATATGCACGTGTGAAAATATACGCATGCGTGTGTGCATAGATCACAGGTTTTGGACACGCACACATAGGCACAGGTGAGTGTGAAGTGTTTGGGAGTGTGTGGGAGTGTACTCCTTGAGGGGGAAGGGTGGCAGAGTGGTGACGATTTCCTAACCGTTACAAAACTTGGGGTCAAAGCAGGGCGTGGGATTCCAAGTTATAATTTTTTGTTCTTCAGAATCTTGAATCCTTACATTTTATTCAGGTAACCGTTGGAACTCATAGGCCGGATATAAGGATTCCAGCCCTACGCCAGCCTACCTGTAGTTCTAGTTTGTGATGAAACTGCTTCTCTCCTTTTTGTGCAAAAGAAGTATTTTGTTGTCTAAAGCTGACAACCTCAGTCGACGTTCAGAAAGTATGTAATTATTATTAAGGAATAAATCCACGAGGAAATTCCATTCATCAACTGTAGGTCTTTGCGTGGCAAAACTTCTCCAGATTTTGTTCCTGTTTTCGGTTGGTTTCTGCCAGTTCTCACATGAGAACTGAGCGTTAACAAAGGCACGTGACAGGACAGCTGAACGCGGCGCATGTAGCGATCCAGTGTGGTAATGTACATTTCTGTGGTTGCCTTCTGTTGTAACCTTCTCTTTCCATATGGGCCAGTAGTGTTTACGTGCCCCTGAAAATAGGAGAGCTGACGGTCACTGTGAAGAGCGTTTAGTCTGAATTATGTGCTCCACTTGTATTCGTTCTATGCAGCCAAGTATTTGAGGTACATCCTAGGATGCCCTAGAAAAGAAAACTGGGCAGACCGTGTGCCAAAAGAGCACTAGTTGAAAGCAATGACAGTGACGACTGACGGGGTGTGTGTTTGTTTTGTTGTAGGGTCTTCAAACTGACTGTGGGCTAAGGCAATCTAGTCCTTGCGGTGGGTTTACTGACCCCCTGGCAGTCCATTCGGAACAACGTAAGTGTGTTTGTTGTCTTTTCCGGTGACCTAATGTTCTCTCTAAATCGGTAATGCATCTTCTAAGAAGATACAAAGGAAACACACAAAGTTAAAGCATCTTGAGCTATTTTAATGATTGCTGCTACTTGCATCTACTCCCGTGTCTCACTGTGGTTCTTCTAGCTGTAGCACCTTATGTTACCTCACATTTGCCACAGATAGAGTCCTAAAAAGGTAAGTGATCTCGTCAGGACTGTGCTAGAAGCTTGTAAAGAGCAGGTATTTGTAGATAAGGCTTTTTTTGAGAGCCACAATAAGCTGTCTAGTTGCTCACGCTGTTAGAAGATCGGTGACGATGACACATGCTGTTCTTTGTCCACTTACCAATCTCTCTCATCCGCAGTGCACAGCAAGAGTAGAAGAGCATCCAGCGAAGACCCTCAGCAAGTGGACTCTAAAGCAGCCTTACTGACGGTTTGTGTCCCCCTTTGTTGTTGTTGTTGTTGTTAAGCAGGACACGAGATTGTGGAAAAAATAACAGGGGTGAAACAGATGGTGTAAAGAACAGTACTGATCCGTGGACCTGTTTGTTTGAGGAGGCAAGAGAAGGGGACCTGTTTTGATTGAGGGAAGAAGTTGTGCGTGTTCTCTACTACACATGGTGCATATTCCTTCCACGAAAACACGCTGCTTCCTGTCCATGGAAAAACCCCATGACTTTTTATTCAAGAAAAGAATCATTTATGTAATCCATAAAGCAGTAGTGAATATATAGCCTTAGCTGTTCTTTTAATGGCAGTTACCATTCCTCAGTTGTATTTGGGTCTTTCCTTTCACCTGCAGTGCAGTGCAGCCTGGTGAAATATTTCTGATGAACAGGCTGTACTGCGAGATGCTAAACCACATTATGACCCCACCTCCAATTAAATACACTACCTTTCCCTTACAAAACTGAAACCTTTGTTTCTCCTCTCTTTTGCTTTAAAGGATTGGTTACAAGGTAGACCTTCAAATAGCACTCAGATGTAAGTAAGCTTTGTACTAGTGGAGCAATTTTATTACTCTGTCCTCTCATTTGGTTTTCTTTTTGGTCATTGTGTTTGGCTATAGTGGGATTCAGTTGTGTTTAATGAAAAAACACGGTTTAAGGGTTTTTTTTCTTCTAATAAATAACTGAATGTGTTCATTGGAATGCTTTGACAGGTTCAATTTAGATTAATGGGGTTTCGTGTCAGAGGGCAAAACATGCCCTTAAATGAAAATGAGTGTGTTGACACTTGTTGGGGAGCTAGCTTCCCGGTAAAGGTCTTCACCCAACCCTTCAAACCGTGCAGACGTTGCTCTCGTTAACAATTATCCCCTAGTTAACTGGTAGAGCCATTACCTTATTCATCTGATAACAGAGGGGGTGAGCTGTTGTGAACAAGTTTTAATTAAAGCACCTCTGTGGGAACGAGCCCTTGTGATGCAAACTTCGCCTAACGCCGCGCGTGACTTGGTGGTATTTCAAGTGTAGCGCTGAAAACACGAGGTTGCTTAACAGCCCTCCATTACCCTTTGGTAATTAAGAAACCTGTACTGCCCTTGAAGACAGAGGGTGAGGGCAGTACTCCGGGGTGAGCAGGGTGACCTGGGTGAGAGGCAGAGTCGGGGAATGCACGGTGGGTTTGTAAGAAGCAGTGACTGTTGGTTTTGTGGCATTTCACAGGCCGTCCGAAGAGGATGCATTGAATGGTAAGCGTGTTTCTGCTGTACACAAGCTGGGAGCTTCTCATGTAAGCAGCTGTTTGGGGCTCGTGTGAAAGAATGGATTCAGCTACCGACAATTTGGAATTAATTGGACACACCGTAGCCCAATTTGAGTGTGTTTTTTAAACAGCCTACCACTGAGCACTACAGCTCTACTTCGGTTTTTCCCCTGAGGTACCGAATAGCTGAGCATGATGATTAATTTTTCTGCACAGCGAATCCTTTTCAAACTAGTACCTTGGCAAGCGTTCTTCACATGTGGTAATTTTAATACACAATACAGGGAGCAGGGAGTATCTTTTTTTGTTAATTTAAATCTCTTTCAGGCATTGCATCTCCTTTCAAGCCTATCATGGATATCAATTACTATTACTCAGGTCAGTCCCTCTTCTGAACTAGTGTTTATATTTTTAATGACTCTTACTAGATCCTTATTCTCCAACAAATGCTGTAATTTTCTTCTAGCTGTAGAAAGAAATAACTTGATGAGGTTATCGCAGAGCATTCCGTTCACTCCTGTGCCTCCCAGAGGTAAGAACTGTACTCGCTGCTGGCTCACTGCGGTCTTTTGGGCAAGAAAACAAAAGCAAACTGTACCGATTCCTTCTAAGAGGGAATGATCAAGCCAAGTGTCACACTTGTGAGTGTGAAACTCGAGTTTTAAGGAACCGAAAGAAGCCTAGCCTGTGTCTTGCAACACGCAGCAGTACGGGAGCACGACACCTTTTCTAGGGGCCGGCTCACTTGACTCTGAAGACCAGAGTTCAGCAGTTTCAGCTCGCTTGGTTATGGAATGTAGATTTTAGTTGCCCTCAGGAACAGGGATACAGTGATCATAGTATTGTACTACCAGTTTTTACGACAAACTGGGAAGGATTCCTTTTAGTTATCTTGACTCCCAGTACTCTTCATGCCGTCTGAACGGTGTCATTCCTAGTTCTAAGTGACAAACTAGGAAGGATTCCTTTTAGTTGTCTTGACTCCCAGCTGTTTGAACGGTGTCATTCCTAGTTCTAAGGGGGACAAAACTGCTCGGCTGCTTTCCTGCTGTATGAAAGAAGTTGGCCAGTACTCTTCATGCCGTCTGAACGGTGTCATTCCTAGTTCTAAGGGGGACAAAACTGCTCGGCTGCTTTCCTGCTGTATGAAAGAAGTTGGAGAGGGCAGTTCAAATTGGGTAGTTCCCACTGGGTAGTTCAAATTTTTTTGTTAATTCGGGGTGTTAGTAGCATGTTAAAATCAAAAACTGTAGGTTTTCAGTGCTTTTGATTTTAATCCTTGAAAATGAAATGTCGTAACTGCCTTTTGCGTTGTTCACGTAGGTGAACCGGTCACGGTGTACCGCCTTGAGGAAAGCTCCCCCAGCATCCTGAACAACAGCATGTCCTCCTGGTCACAGCTAGGGCTCTGCGCTAAAATTGAATTTTTAAGTAAAGAGGAGATGGGAGGAGGTCTACGTCGAGCCCTCAAAGTAGTATGCACGTGGTCAGAATATGATATCCTGAAGTCAGGACACCTTTACATCATCAAGTCTTTTCTTCCTGAAGTTGTGAATACTTGGTCAAGCATTTATAAGGAGGACACTGTGTTACACTTGTGCTTGAGAGTAAGTTTTATCCTTGTCAATCATCAGCCAGGCGTGATATGTTAAATGGATTGCTCCCCAAAAATGAGGCTAGGCTTGTTAAATAGAGATAAAAAAAGGGTTACTCTGTGGTTCTCTATGAGCTAACAGCTTAAATTCTCCGGGCTAGTTTGGTTTACTTAATCAGAGAGCTCCGACTTTTAAAATGCAGACATGGGTTGAAAAACAAGTGGCTGGTTACACGGTCTTGGGGGAATAGACATGGTTCCTGCTGCCTGTTCTGGCTCCCTGGCACGTGAAGCAGCTAATGAAATACGGACTTTGTGTCGTAGGAAATTCAGCAACAGAGGGCAGCTCAGAAGCTCACCTTTGCCTTCAATCAAATGAAGCCCAAATCCATTCCCTACTCGCCAAGGTGAGTGTGTTTCAGCGTCAGCTTTGTTGCGTGCTTTCGAGACAGAGCAGTGCCGACAGGGCCCTTAACAGATGGGTCACGTTTATTGGGGTACCGGTACGTGAATATGTGTTGCGGAATGGTGCTGTGGATGTGTCCAGCAGAATTATCCTTGGCAGTATTTTCTGTCGATACTTTTTGCACTGATTCTAGCCTGGTGTGATAAAAGCATAGAATGGTTTGGGTTGGAAGGGACCTTAAAGCCCATCCAGTTCCAACCCCCCTGCCATGGGCAGGGACACCTTCCACTAGACCAGGTTGCTCCAAGCCTCATCCAGCCTGGCCTTGGACACTCCCAGGGATGGGGCATCCACAGCTTCTCTGGGCAACCTGTCCCAGTGCCTCCCCACCCTCTCCGGGAAGAACTTCTTCCTGATATCCAATCTACACCTCCCCACTTTCAATTTAAACCCGTTACCCCTTGTCCTGTCACTACAGGCCCTTGTAAAAAGTCCCCCCCAGCTTCCTTGTAGCCCCTTCAGGCACTGGAAGGTGCTATAAGGTCTCCCCGGAGCCTTCTCCAGGCTGAACAAGCCCAACTCTCTCAGCCTTTCATCATAGGAGGCTATAAATGATACGATTTTTGTATAATAGTTTCAAATTATTTAAATTATTAGTAAATCAAATTGAGAAAAATCTAATAATAACGATATATTTGCTATTTTGTAAAATACAGTCATTAAGTATGGTTCTTTCTAGGTTCCTGGAAGTTTTCCTGTTGTATTGCCACTCTGCTGGCCAGTGGTTCGCAGTTGAAGAGTGCATGACCGGAGAGTTCAGGAAATATAACAACAACAACGGCGATGAAATCATTCCAACCAACATGCTGGAGGAGGTTATGCTGGCTTTCAGCCACTGGACGTACGAGTACACACGAGGAGAGCTCTTGGTGCTGGATCTACAAGGTAACGTCCTCCTTTTGACACGGGGAGCGGGGCCTAGATGGAGGTATGGGGTTTTTTTCTCTTGCGTGGGAGTGTTGGGAAGAATTCGTAGGCCTGTAGGAAGTAACAAGCATGATTTAGTGTGTCTTGGTCTAGTTAGTCGGGTTCCATGGTTGTCTTATTTACTATGGCATTGAATCCCGCAGCGACACAGGGATGTACTACACACCCCTTTTCCGAATGACAGGCACTGTAACGCCTCTGGGTTTTGGCAAATCTGTGTAGTGCCAGTATGGAAAATGGTGTATTTATCCCAAACTGTGTCAGGTGCTCTGGCTGAGAGAACTGCAGAGCGAACCTCTTTCTCGTGGGTGAAAGTCCTAAACTGGAGTTAGGACTTGCAGGCAGACGCAGAGATCAGTGGAAAAAATCAAAGTACAAAGTGCTTGTTTAGGAGCAGTTTTTGTAAGGGTCGAGCCTATCACACGTACTATCCTCTGCTTTTATCCCCGGGGAAGCTGGGAGGTCGTAGCTAAGGCTGCCAGGGCTTTCCACTATTCGTGTGTTTATGTAATGTGTGGGATTTAACTTTTTCTTCATGTGCTGTCTGAAGGTGTTGGTGAAAATTTGACAGATCCCTCCGTGATAAAAGCTGGAGAAAAAAGGTAAGGATGAAGAAGGGTTGAAAGAAGGGAATCTTACCAAATTTTCACCAGAGAATACATGCAACCCCCGCTTACGTGCACTTTGTTCTAAGGTCATATGATATGGTGTTCGGCCCGGCCAATTTGGGAGAGGATGCAATAAAAAACTTCAGAGCAAAGCATCACTGTAATTCATGCTGACGGAAACTGAAACTTCCTGGTAAGAGTTGCCCTATTCCTTCTCCCGAGACACTCGTGTCGTGAGCCGTTGTAGGGTGTGTGGTGGAACGGTTGCCATGCTGTGCAAGTCGTGAACGGCCGGTTTGTGACGCCGCTTTGAAACCCATATGCTATTTTAGGGTCGAGGTGATGGCCAACCCTCAGGATTCTTAAGCAAAATGTGTTTCTTTTGGGGTTTTTGAGGGGGTGATTTTCTTTTTTATTTGTGGGGTTTGCTTTTCCTTTGTTGGCTGCTCTTTGTTTGGATTTTTTGTTGGTTGTGCTCAAAAGCACATCCAGCTCCACAGAAATTCCGGCTTTAAATGCCAGGTATTTTTGCTGCATGGGCTTTGCTACGCTCAGGTCAAACCTTGAACTTGTGGCTTTGTGTCAGACATTTAGACTCCAGCAGAACCACATGAGGAGCTTGCGTGATTCCTGCCTGTCTCGCGCTTCCCCTCCCGTGAAGAGGGGCCGTTCATTTTAAACTGGGGTTGTAAACCCCGGTAACGTCAAAACGGGTCGTGGAAGGACACGGCGCCCGTAGAAAGCTGCCTCGATACTTGCTGTAATCTCTGTAAATATGATGATTCTGAGGTTTCCATCACTCCCGAAAGCAGCTGAAGGCTTCCAGTTGCGTGTCTGAGCAAAACACCCCCTTTTTGACACACTGCGGAGTGCGTGCCTAGGCCCCCCCTGTTCTTCCAAAGACTCCTGTGCCCCACTCAACTTGCTGAGGAAGCGGTGATCCATGTGACTCCCGTTTTGTTTGTGCAGACCTGAAGAGGAATGATTACACGCCTGACAAGATCCTATTTCCTCAGGATGATTCCACTGAACTGACGATTCAGCCTGGAAGCTGCACCAAAGAATCCGATTCCGCCAGCTCCATCCGTCTGATGCTCTGACGTGACCAAATCAGTGGCTTCGTCCGAACGTCGTGGAATGTCACAAAAGCTGTCGCTTATCTTTCCTTCGCTGTAGTTAAGAGGTGTCAAAACAAGGATTGCTGTCTTCTGAGCGGAATTTCGGCTGCTCCAAAGGGCCCAACAGCTTGTGGGAACCGTGAGAGGAGCAGCTTGGCAGCTGATCACAGCAGAGCTCCAACGACAAGCATTTGAGAGCCGGTTTTAAAGGGGCTTTTTAGCAGAAGGGTTTCTTTTTTTTACTGTGTTTCGTGGAGGATTTTCTCTCCGCCGTTCGGTGGCGTGCAATATGCCTTCAACCAAAAGGGTTTCGGCGGTTGATGTTTTAAGGCGAAGCGTTGGCCGGTTGGGCGGCTGCCTTCAGCCCAACGGGCCCTTGGCGGGAGGAAGCGCCGACCTCTGGAAGCACCAGAGCGAGCGTGTTTGGGAGTGCTCCGCCAGCGTTTTCTCCCCCGGCGTCCTCGACTCCGGCCTGTCGAAGGGGACGGAGCCGCGTGAGGCCTGTAAGTGATGCCGGTGGGCTGAGGGCGGAGGCGGGAACTCGGTCTGTTCCACGAGAGAGACTCTCCCGGATCAGGATTCGGCTTGGTGGCTGTAAAGCTCTTGCTGGGCCTCGCTTTGGTTTTAAACAGAGCCCTAATTGTGCGTAAATGCAACTTCTCGTTTTATACATTTCAAGTTTCTCGAGTCGCCGTCGAACAGCAGCGAAGCCGTGGTTGGCTGCTCTAGCCATGCCCAGCGGAAGAAGTAGTACGTGCCGGTCCAAGCGAGCGGCCTGGTCGGAGCACGAGCTGGAGGTGCTTTTCCTGGCACGCAGCGATCGCTTCAGAAGTTAACGCCTTCCAAAGAGCTCGGAAAACCGCTGGGTCAAAACCGAATGTACACGTAACTTTAAAAACATATTTAAAAATGGTGTAGGAACCATCGTTCGTGTTATTTGTGGTACTTTATTTAAGAGAGACCAGGGTTGGATTAGCATGATGTCAAGTACGGGAGATTGCAATGCACCTTCATGCCAATAAAACGTCATTTAACTGTCCCAAATACTGTTGAGCATTCAGCCAGAAAACACCCTGTTCTCCAACTGAAGTTTCATGCTGCGATTTTTTTGTTGTTGTTGTTACATAGGTACTAATTTGTAATTTTTAATTAAAAAGGCAGTATATAGCCCTATAAATTTTTTATTCAGTAGTGTATCTTATAGATACAGACCTAAGGCACGAACACAATAGCTGTTTAAATGGTGGGTTATGTTTGACGGGGAGAGGTGAAATGCTATAAGGCTATAATACTGTATACATTTTGTATATCATCAAATCTTTAAAGAATCTAAAATAAATTTATTCTTGTTTACAGACTTCCGCTGTCCGTCTCGGTCCGAGAGGTTATTTGGGTAAATGTAAGGAATTCTTTAGGGCGGAAAAGTAGAATTTGCCATGCTGGCTGGAAGCAGTTGTCTCCCTTTGGAGGTATCTCGACTTCTGGAACACCAGAAGGTAGCGGGGAGCAGCGGGGAAGCGAAATTCTCATAGCAGACACTGTACGTGATGGGGTAAGAGATGGAAATATCTTGGGGCTCTTCCCAAGGTGTGTTTTGAATGAGGAGCTGCTCCAAGGATGCCTGACTGCATCCGTGAGGCCGGGGGCAGTTACCCCGGAGCCTGGCGGGAGTACTGGCTCAGCAGCGCTCCTGTCAACTCTCCACACCCAGGATGAGTGTGAGAGCCGCGCTGCCCAGCACACGTACGCCGGTCCACACCTCTAGTGACAACCTGAAATGCGCCAGTGACGTTCCTTCTCCAAGGGCGCCGAGGGAATAGCACAGAATCACAGACTGGTTTGGGTCGGAAGGGACCTTAAAGATCATCCAGTTCCAACCCAGTATCTCTCGCAGGGAAGGAGGTACGGGACACTGTTTTCCTTGGCAGACAGCTTTGGTTCCCTACTGCTCTCCTCGGGTAAACCACTGCGAGACGTGCAGACCCGGTGATGGTTGCCCAGGTAACTTCAGGTATAAAATGCACCTAAATTTTCCTCCAGCATCCGTCTTTCATGCAAAACCTTCAGCTATCCGAGCGTGCCAGTTGCATCTACAAATTCATCTGGCAACTCCAGCTGGTTGGAGTGAGTCCAGAGGAGGCCACGAAGATGCTCCGAGGGCTGGAGCCCCTCTGCTATGGGGACAGGCTGAGAGAGTTGGGCTTGTTCAGCCTGGAGAAGAGAAGGCTCCGGGGAGACCTTATAGCCCCTTCCAGTGCCTGAAGGGGCTACAAGGAAGCTGGGGGGGACTTTTTACAAGGGCCTGTAGTGACAGGACAAGGGGTAACGGGTTTAAATTGAAAGTGGGGAGGTTTAGATTGGATATCAGGAAGAAGTTCTTCCCAGAGAGGGTGGGGAGGCACTGGGACAGGTTGCCCAGAGAAGCTGTGGATGCCCCATCCCTGGGAGTGTCCAAGGCCAGGCTGGATGAGGCTTGGAGCAACCTGGTCTAGTGGAAGGTGTCCCTGCCCATGGCAGGGGGGTTGGAACTGGATGGTCTTTAAGTCCCTTCCAACCCAAACCATTCCGTGATTCTGTGAACTTGCGCGCTGCTGCCTGCTTGCTCGCAGCCGTCGGGGCTTGCGACAGATGGGAGAAAAACCGATCCCAAATCCATCACGGTGAGTGTCCCCGGGAGCTGGTTTCCTGGCCCCCGCTCAGCCAGGATTTGGGGAATTGGGGAAAGGAGGGGTTTGGCTTTTCAGCCTGCGGCAGTGATTTCCCACACTCAGTCTCGGTGGTGGCATCTTGCTTAGTGCCACCATGTGTAACGCTGCGAGGGTTTGGGGGGGAGGGCCGGACTACAGCTCTGAACTTGGCAGCACCAGTTCACGTTCAACGTTCCTATCGGGGCGACGGGAAGCAAACCCCAATTTTGACAAATACAGCGGTGCTGCCGCAAAGCCTCCCGCCGATTTACTCTTTGCCAATTGCCGCTCGCCCTCCCCAGCGATCCCGTTTTGCTGGGAGAGGAGGCGGGGGGTGTTAACCCTCGGCCCCCCAAGCTCGCGGTGGCTAGGGGGTTTGTTCATCAGCTGACGCTGCAAGAGCGGGTCGAGGTCTCGACTGGGATCCCACGGGTGGGAGTCAGGGCGTGCTTTGGCCTTCCTGAACGAGGCAGGTTGGCAGCGCCGACGGTAGCGCTACCAGTAAAATTCGGCCGTATGGATTTACAGTCTTTTTACCAGTTTTTTTACCAATTTTCAATTTTAAAACGTTTGAAACTCTTGGTAAAGCACGTACAGCGTGACAGTTCCGTTTACGAAACCGCAGATGAGGTTTTTGAGCGGTGGCTGTGGGGCGCTGCGTTCAGTTTTCAGCTGGGCAGTCCGGGAGGTTGTTAGCGCCGACGGACCGGCCGCAGCGCTGGGAAACCGCCGTCGCTTGGGGCGTAAATCAGTTCATTAGGGATGTGGTTTTTGATGGCTTCTTGCGCCTCTTCCGTGGATATTTATTCCTTCCGGAATTGTATGTGAAGCAGGGGGGACCTGTCGCTCTTCAGCGGTGTATGAAGTTCAGAGATCAACAACGCTGTCGCGTTAGCTCATTAAGAGAATTCATTAGCTCTGCCACTACCCTTTTTTTTTCCCCCCAGATAAATCTTCCAAAGGCCAATCGACCTAATCCAGTGTGATGTCTTGACGTAGCACCCTCAGCCATCACTGCCCTTCCCCCGGAGCAGTCATGGACACTAACACCGCTGCAAGGAAAGGTGGGTCGGGCGGAAACCCCCTGCCTGCTGGAAGGCAACCGAGGGTTTTGGGTTGTTGTGGGTGCACGCAGGGAGGAGAGGGAGGCAGGTCCAGCCGGGCACGTTCCCTGGCTGAGACCCTAGAATCATGGAATCATAGAATCATAGAATGGTTGGGGTTGGAAGGGACCTTAAAGATCATCCAGTTCCAACCCCCCTGCCATGGGCAGGGACACCTTCCACTAGACCAGGTTGCTCCAAGCCTCATCCAGCCTGGCCTTGAACTCTTCCAGGGATGGGGCATCCACAGCTTCTCTGGGCAACCTGTCCCAGTGCCTCACGACCCTCTCTGAAGAATTTCTTCCTGACATCTAATCTAAACCTCCCCACTTTCAATTTGTACCCATTACCCCTTGTCCTGTCACTACAGGCCCTTGTAAAAAGTCCCCCCCCAGCTTCCTTGTAGCCCCTCCAGGCACTGGAAGGTGCTATAAGGTCTCCTCGGAGCCTCCTCTTCTCCAGGCTGAACAAGCCCAACTCTCCCAGCCTGTCCCCATAGCAGAGGGGCTCCAGCCCTCGGAGCATCTCCATGGCCTCCTCTGGACTCGCTCCAACCAGTCTATATCCTTCTGATGTTGAGGGCTCCACAGCTGGACGCAGCACTCCAGGTGGGGTCTCAGAACCCTACGGAACAGAACGACGTCACAAAGCAACGGGGTGGCCCCGGGGACGGGCACGAGGGCAAGGGGCAGCTTCCCCGCGCTGGGGAAGCACCAGCTCCCTGCGCAGCTGCTGCTGGCTTCCCAGCCTCCTCCCGCCCCCCAGGATCCCAACGTGTTGTCTTTCTCCAGGGTGGCTGCACGAGAGGGAGTTGTTTTCCCAGGAGACTGGTCTAGAGGTAGAGCTCTTGGGGAATGTTGGCCCTAAAGGAAACTGTTGTGTGGTTGGTTGGTAGCTACTGGCTGACACATAACGGCTGCCGGCCTGGGAGCCGCCCGGACACGGGGACTCGGATACGTGTTGTTCAGCTGAAGGGAAAGAAATGACACCTCTTCTTCCACAGAGACTGTTGAGGTGTCAGTTTTCTTTCCTTCTGCATCAGCATGAAACAGCAGCCTGTAAAAATTCCACAACAGCAGCGTCAGGGAGCACAGCTGGGCTGTGCGGGCTCCGTGTGCAGCCCTCTCTTCTGCCTGACTGGGGCTGGGGGCAGTTTGGTCCAGGACAGAGGTGCAGGAAGAACACGAACCCACCGAAACTTCCTCAGCGTGACTTAAGTAACGTTTTATGGAGAAAGTCCAGAGAGCGGCCTGGTTACAGCAGCATCTGGACTGCAACCCCTGGTTTCATAAAATATTGAAGTACCAGAGCACTGAGGGAATGAATCATGGACTGGTTTGGGTTGGAAGGGACCTTAAAGATCATCCAGTTCCAACCCCCCTGCCATGGGCAGAGACACCTTCCACTAGACCAGGTTGCTCCAAGCCTCATCCAGCCTGGCCTTGGACACTCCCAGGGATGGGGCATCCACAGCTTCTCTGGGCAACCTGTCCCACTGCCTCCCCACCCTCTCCGGGAAGAATTTCTTCCTGATATCTAATCTAAACCTCCCCACTTTCAATTTAAACCCGTTACCCCTTGTCCTGTCACTACAGACCCTTGTAAAAAGTCCCCCCCAGCTTCCTTGTAGCCCCTTCAGGCACTGGAAGGTGCTATAAGGTTTCCCCGGAGCCTTCTCTTCTCCAGGCTGAACAAGCCCAACTCTCCCAGCCTTTCATCATGGCACACAAGGTGCATTCTGCAGGGAGAAATGCCAATTGCTACCTCCAGCTGGTTACAGTTTTTGAGGAACTGTGTATAGAGCGGAATTGCTGGAATAACTTAAACCCTCAGGTGTTTAAGTAACAGGACTCTTAATGCCGTATCTCGCCCTATTGGGAAGAGTCTGGTGTGGGCGACGCAGAGTCTTTAACCCTGTGTTAGCCTGGTGGAAGGAAACGTGACTGCTAAAGATCCGGAAACACTGGGGACCTTCTCCAGATGGTTCGGCTTTCTAGAAACCACAACACAAAAAGCACTGTAGCCTTTTACATTTCCGCTGCTTGTGGGATTGTGTGGTTTTTTTTTGTTCCTAGCAGGTAGGAGCATTCCTGCAGGTAGGACCATTCCTGCAGGAACCCGATGGGGAAGGCGAGCTGCCAGCACCCCGGGCTCACCGGCCTGTGGAATGTGGGCAACACGTGCTACATGAACGCGGCCCTGCAGTGCCTCTGCAGCGTGCCGCCGCTGGTGGAGTATTTCCTCTCGGGCAAGTACAACGCAGCCCTGCGCAAGTGAGTTCATTTCTTCACCCCGCCGCCGCTTCTCTGCCTGCCCCTGCCCTTCTCCTCCCCAAGGATACGGGTGGCCAGGACACTCCGAGGCAGCTGCCGGCCAGCTCCCCTCCAGGTGGGAGCTGGTCTCCTCCTTCCCCCGGGACCCAAGCCCTTTCCTCCTGGGTAACTCCCTCGTTATCCCTTTGGCGTCGTTCTGCGGGTAACACCAGTCAGTGCCTTTGCCGTCGCGATGATTCCTGCGTTCTGCGGCGTCCCTCGCGCCCAGCGACAGGCTGCCGGGGCCAGACCGCACCCGCGCGTTTCCGAAGTCGGTGTATTACGCTCCCATTCGAAGGCAGAGCCACCCTCTGCTCATGTTTTACCCGAAAATGTTTATTTTCCAAGGGAGAAGAAGGAGGCTGCGACTGCCTTTGGCAGGCTGGTGTCCGACATGTGGCATGGCGAGTCCGACTGCGTTTCCCCGGAGGATTTCCAGACGGCGCTGGGGAAGCGGTACCCGGCGTTCAGCCAGGGGACGCAGCAGGACGCCCAGGAGTTCCTGATCTGCGTGCTGAACGAGCTCCACGAGGCGCTCCAGACGGTAAGAGCGCGCGGCGGTGTTCCGGGGACCGCAGGCGTTCGCGTGTCGTGACTTAGCGTGTCGTGACTTAGCATCCCCTGGGCTGGCTGCCTGAACAACGGTCATCTTCTTTGCCTCACGGCAGTTCAGTTGTTCCTCGTCTAACGTCCAATCGGAGCTCCGTTATCCCCTCCCCTCCCTGCTCCTCCCACGCTTTACGTTTTCATCTCCACGCCTGCCGTGTCCCACCTCTGCCTCTCTCTCCTTCGGATCCACCGGCAAAGGGCTCGTCCAGCAATTCCACTGCTGTCTCCCGGCCAGAATTCCGTGCTCGTGTTTCATGTTGCTCAGAAAAGGGATTTCCCTGACTCTGCACCTACAAAGCCTCCTGGAGCCAGGATCGGCGACAAGAGCAACCACCACAACCCAGTGGAGTCGGTTGCCTGGGGTTTGGCTTCAGGGTGTTGTTTTTTTTCTCCTCCCGCACAGTCAAGCAAACCAACGGATGCGAAAGCGAGCGGAGGGGTCAGCGAAACCTCGATCATCACGGAGTTATTCGAGGGAGAACTCTGTTACGACATCACGTGTCTGAAATGCAAAACCACCGTGGCCAGACCCGAGCGCTTCACCGTTCTGTCCCTGCCCATCCCTGCCAAGCGCACGTGCTCCCTGCAGGTCCGGCTTCCGACACGCTCCTCCCGGTTTCTGCGGGGGCTCAGACTCCTCCCTGCCCTAACGGGGGTATTGGGTTTCCCAGGCGCTGACGGAGAGTCTTTTGCTCTGGTCTCTCTCTGACAGGACTGTCTCAAACGCTTCTTTCAGCAAGACACGCTGACTCGGAACAACCAAATCCACTGCTCCCGCTGCGGAGCAAAGCGAAATGCCGCCGTCGAGGCCATCATGACCAAGGCACCGCCCATCCTTGTTTTTCACCTGAAGAGGTACCGCCCATCTGGGGCAGGACACAGCCATTTCAGTGCCTGGGACTTATCAGATGTGCATGTGCCTGGGCCGGGGGGAATCACTGCCAAAGAGGGGGTTTGGTGTTTCCGACACCTGGCAGCGGGCTGGGCAGTTACAGGATTGCAGAAACACGGCCCTCGGGCACCGCTGGAATCTCCGCCGAGGCGTTGGGCCTTACGCCGCCCAGCACGTGTCCCTCACCACGCTTGGGATCGCCTCTCCGACGCGTGGAAAACCTCCACCGAGGCGTGACCCGATGGCCGGCCGTCCCTGCCAGCAGGAGTCCCCTCTGGCTGGGGGTCTAAGCGCAGGCGGGGAAAGGGCCTCGTGCTTGTCGTTCCTGGGGCTGCGACGCTGCATTCCTGTTCAGCCCTCGCCCAAACCGGGCCCGAACAGAGCTGCTTCAGCAGCCTCCACTGGCCACGCGTCGCCAGATGCTGAATTCATTCTTAGGGATTTCCTAACGTCTTCCCAACTCCAAAGATAATTACCCTGGGATCATTTGGCTGCCCAGACCTATGTTCTATCAAGTGAAAAGCATCTGCTTTCCTTGACGTGCCCGGAGGAACCTGTGGTCCCCAGCTACAGCCCAGCCCAGACTGTTCAGGAGATGGCAGCTGCGATGCAGAGGTCTGACTCCCGGTTGCTCCGGGCACCTGCATCCATTTCCAATAGGGAGAGGGATCAGGAAGCAGGAGCTCTGCCCTTCTTGCAGGACATCTCAGCGCGGTTTCCGTCGGTTTACCGTTAACACTCAGCGCTAACACGCACCTTCCTCTTTCGGAATGCTGGGTAGTCGTTCCTCCTTTCCCCTCCCCTCGGGAAAGTCGGCTAGCAACCACCACAACGCAAGAAAAGAGGTTGAGTTGTTACTAAAGTAGCTCAAAAACCCGTTCTTTCAGGTTTGAATGGCAAGGCAAGCACAACAGGAAACTCTCCACTAACGTCTGCTACCCGCTCAGCGACCTGGATCTGGCGCCCTACGGTTCCCACGGTGCCTGCAAGGACGCGGAGTACAGCCTCTGCGCTGTAGTGGTGAGTGCTGCCCCTCTGCTCTTGCGTCTAACGCCCTGCAGATGAAGCCCCATAGCCATAAATGGTTGTATTTCTATGTTTTTCCACACACTTTCCTGTTTTAAACCTGCCACGGACAGAATGCAGGAACTGCAAGTATTTATTTGAGTTAATAGTCCTTGCTGTAGGCCAAAGGGAGCTAGAATCGTCCCTGCCACGTGCAAACAAAACAGTGACTGCCCGTTGCTAGCCTTGCCTGCGAGGAGAAAGTGAGACGCGGCTGTTAACAGACACCCCCATCTGTTACAGAACCACTCTGGACTTCTGGACGATGGCCACTACACCGCCCTCTGCAAGCACTCGCTCACCCGAAACTGGTACCACTTTGATGATGCGCAGGTCACCCAGATCCCCACTTCCTCGGTGCAGACTGACACGGCCTATCTCCTGTTCTACACCTCTCAAGGCCGCCAACGAGAGTGAACCAGCCAGGAGAGTTCACCCGCAGCGTCAGCCAAGTCCTATTTCATCAATAAACCAGAGCAGTTGCCTTCTCCCTCACCTGGCGTGGGCTTTCGGGAAGGGACCGCTTCCTAGCCAGCGTAGGGAACGCGCACCGCTCCCTGCGCACAAGGTCTACGGGTGGTTGACCTTCCCTCACTGAGCACAGGTTGACCTTCCCTCACAGGTCTACGAGCGGTTGACCTTCCCTTGCCCTTCCCTCACTGAGCACAGGTTGACCTTCCCTCACAGGTCTACGAGCAGTTGACCTTCCCTCACCGAGCACAAACGCCCAGCACAGGGACACGCTCACCTCCAACCTCCCGTCTCCCTGTCCGTTACGTCTCCCTGCCCGTTACCTCATGTGGGCCGAAGCCGCCTCTCAGCAACCGCTAAGGCGAAGGCACGGGCCTGCACGCCCGAGGGGGTGTGTTTTGGGAGAGAGCAGGGGATGAAGCGACCACTGAAGTACGAGTAAGGAAAGGGTACCATTCTAGCGCTGTCCTTTTTGTCCCTCCAGCACCACAGGTTTGTCTGCAGCTCGCAAGCTTCTGGAAAACAGAACTCCATCAGCAAGACACTCACGTAGGCAGCTAAAAGCTCGGAGCATAGGGTTTATTTTTTTGAATGCCAACCTAATCCGAGAGGGAAAAAAACCCAAATCCTGAGCAGGGAAACGCACAAGGTGCAACCACCCTGCTTTCTAATGGGATCTGTTCAACGCCGTTTCCTCCACGTGGAATCCCGACCACCACGCAGCCGGCCGAGAATGAAAACGCCCAACCCAACCATCCACTCAATGGGATATTTTTAAATTGTTTCCTCAGTAAGGTTTTTAATGCACGTGTACATGAAAATTTATATTAAAAAATTAAAAAGGAAAGTCTTGTTTGTTTAGAATAACTCTGAAGGGCACAAATATTGACAGAAGCTAACAAAAGAAACGCAGCTCTGCTCTCTTTTTATTTAGTGTTGCAATTCCTTAGAGCTGGCAAATAAACGCAATCCTCTGAGTTTTCGAGAGTCTCACAAAAAAGGACAACATCTTATTATATATACAGAGTTCTGCTGTGCAAGTCTGCAATCAATATGTACACTTACATTCCTAACTGTTTACATCGTTCTAGAGTATTCACAGTAGAATCAAGCTTAAGGTTAGAAATGTGAAAAGGCCATAACAGTGAGAGAAAACATCCCCCCCACCCCACCCC